TTCAATCTATTTTTCCTCATCCAATCCATTACCGCTCTAAGACATTCACTAAGACCACAGGACACTTCCAACGCCAACTTTAGAGCCAAACGAGGGCCATGGTTGTTATTCTTGTCCCCACCTGAGTCCCACAGAAACGGGTGGCTAATATCCCAGAAACGATGCAGAGCCCTTTTCTCGCTCATGAAGGCAGAATCCGGACAGCGACGCGGGACGAATTTACCCCATTTTGAAGCGACCGGCCACGGCGATGGAATATCATGGATCTGTGGGGTCTGCAGGTTTTTCTCCCTCAGTGGGGAGCCAGAGGAGGGCCCCTGTGGAGAGGAAGACGAGGAAGAGGCAGCACAAGGCATGAAGGCATCTCTTCCACCATTATCATCCTTCTTCTAAGGCGGCGGTGATGATGCCCAGTGAGTCACAGCTACCTAGCTTTCAATGCCACCAAACCCAGAACCGGTACTCCAGCTCCCTGATGCCCATTTGTTTCTCCATCTCTGATGCCACCCCTATTGATTGGCCATTTTACCTTCTGCAGCACCCACAGAGTCCACCTCTTCCAGGGCAAGAGGGCAGAAGCTGCAGAAAATATATGGAGCGCCTTTTTATTTGTATTTATTTTGCAAAGACCCGGTGGCTGGCATATGCCTCCTCATGGCAGAAAAGGCCAAGCAATTGCGCATGGACTGCAATGGGGTCATGCTTCAGAGAGGGACAACAAAGATGCTTCCCAATTGGAGCAACTCAGATGCAAAACCACTGGCATCACCTGGCCAGGTAGAGCATGGCTCCTCAAGCGCTCCGATGTGTGATATGCCAGGGACTATGGCCATATTGAGGCCAGCATGGCACAGTGGTTTGAGCATTGGACTGTGACTGTGGAGACCAGGGCTCGACTCCCAGTTTGGCCAAATAAACCCACTGGGGGACCCTGGACAGGTCACACTTTCTCAGCCTCAGAGGAAGGCAAAGGCAAACCCCCTCCGAACCAATCTTGCCAAGAAAACCCTATGAGAGCTTTGCTTTAGGGTCAACCTAAGTGGGAAACGACTTGAAAGCACACAGCAACAACAGTGCCATATAGAATCATAGAATCAAAATAGAGTTGGAAGAGACCACAAGGGCCTTCCAGTCCAACCCCCTGCCATGCAGGAACTCCCAATCAAAGCATCAACATATCGGTGCCGTGTTATTATCACGACGTGGGCATTGTTTTCGGGAAACTTGCTGCAGGCTGGCAGCCAACAGCCTGTGGACTGGCACAAGTCCACCAAGTACCATGTTATGGAAGTGGCCAGGGAGAGCTTTTGGGGGTCTGGGGGACTGAGTGCTCACAGCTCAGTGGTAGATCCCATGTGCCTTGTTTCCACTTATTGGAGCTAAATGCAACCCATAGCATCTCTGATAAAAGGGAGACAGGCTGGCAAAGCCCCTGGGGAGAGCAGGGTCAGGAACCACACCGAACTCCCAAATGTTCTTGTACTGTGGCTCCCTGCATTGCTTATCACTTGACTACCTTGGCTAGGGGCTCATGGGAGTTGCATTCCAACCACACCTGAAGGGTTGCACCATTCCAGTCCCCAACACAGATGAGAGAAGGGACAACCAGGGTTGCCAGTGATTCAATGGGCGAGTGAGCAACCCGTTTTGTATGCAGCACATAGCGATTTCGGTTGCTACGTCTTCCGTTTAAAGGATTTCATGCAGAAGGGTTGTCAGAGACATTTGTGTGTCTCAGGCCTTGGAGTGCAATTGCCATTCAGCATCAACTAACCAGTCAGGGTTGAAAGGGACCCCCAAGGGTCATCCAGTCCAACCCGCTGCCAGGCAGGAATCCACCGCTCCTGAGAGAAACCCATGCAACCTCTGTTTAAAGACCTCCAAAGGAGGAAAATCTCCCCCTCCAAGGCGGTCTATTCCAAGACGTTCTTCCTAATGGTTTGGTGGAATCTCTTCTCTTGTAATTTGAAGCCACTGGTTCATGTTCAAGATTCTGGAGGAGCAGAAAACAAGCCGGCTCCATCTTCTACATGACATCCCTCTAGATATTTAAAGATAGCTATCCTATCATTCTCCCATAGTCTTCTTTTCTCCAAGCTAAATATACTTAACTCCTAAAGTCATTCTTCACAGGGACTGATATTTTCCAGGTTG